AGCAGTTTAAAACTAATAAAAAGAACTCTTTCCCCAATATGGGATTTCTCTCCTCTGATCACATAAAAGTACATTCCTGTTAATTACTCAAATAAGAAAGAATATGTATGAAGTAGAAAGCAGGGGCACTCATGTACCCACCACCCCAAGAGAACCCTGTTATGAGGTGGGGGTTATGAATCCAGGTACCCCCGAGGCCACACAGTCACACACAAGCAGCTGCTCGGCCTTGCTTCTGGAAACGAGAACGGGACCTTCCAATTCTGCCCAGAGCTGGCTATTCACTTGGTGACCCCTTGGCAAGCGTGAACGGCTCGCCCTGGTCTAATTATTTCCTAGAAGTGGGGCTGCTGGGTCAGAGGGTGCGCACTTATGGCTGGGATGAGTTACAAACTCAGTCTGTTCCTGCTGTTTGCAAACACAACCGGAAACAATGCTGAGAACTCTCCATCTAGTTGTAAAACATGACACTGTTTTAATTTGCCTTTCTTCTTACTCTGAGCCCAAAGCAGTGGGTGGTGCAAGGGGGGTTTCTGGGAAGGCTGGTGGTATAACAATTATTCCGTTTCTTGATCTGGGTGGCACCACTTTGAGAAAACTCGTGGAGCCGTATACTTAGGGTCTATGAGTTTTCCTGCAGGTTCATTACATTTTAATGTTCAAAGAGCCTGCACTGTGATTCTGATTGCAACGGCACATATCTGCAGATTAACTGAGGGAGAGCAGACATCCGTCCGTCCATCAATCTGGCTTATCGCTGTGGCATTGACCTGGATCTGGCTGAGGTTGTGCCTGTCAGGTGTCTCCACTCTATGCTCCATCCCCCTTCCTAAATGGTTTTAAGTCTTGGGAGCAGCCCTCGCTTAAGGGAGGGAAGCTATGCCACCCTCCTTGAGGGTGGAGTATCTGCATAAATTATGTGGAATTCTGCGTGGGAGATTTAGATCTTGTCTCTATTTTTTTGTTCATTGATTTTATCAATAAGGGCTCATGGAAATTTATGTTTTAGTATGTTACCAAGTAAGGATTCAAAGCATATACATGATGCAGATGCTCGTCCTGAATCTCATGCCGTCTCAGCTCAGCTTCACTGAGCTGGCTCCTTGCTGAGAGCAGTCTCAGCTCGGCTTCTGGGTTTATCAATAACTTCCGACTTTCATCTTAGAGCCTTGGGACTCTCCAATCTCTAGCAGCCCCTAAAACTGACCATCAAGCCATTTTTAAACTTATCACAACAAGCCTTCCCCACATCCCTGATCAGTCAGGAGGCATCAGGGATGGATGTCTCTCCAGACACCAAGGAGATCGTCCCACACGCTCCTGGATGATGCCCTCCTCTCCGCGCTCTGGCAAAAAAAAAAAAAAGAAAAGACAAAGCCAAGCAAACTCACGGCTTTTCCATCAAACCAAGCCCTTGAGCACCAAGCTGAGAGCCAGGAACACCTGCTCACCCAATCCAGGGCAACTGAAATAAAAGGTGGAGTGAGATTTGCCTCCAAAATCGTATCACAGGGGTTCCTGAGATGCGCCAACACTGCTTGAATATCCCAGATCCTGGAGCAAACACAGCTTCCACCTGACAAGCGCAGGGCATGTGTGAGGGTAGAAGGAAGGCAGGACACTGAGGCTGCAGCAGGTAGAGTGGGGTGTGGGGGTGACAAACAACCGCAAGGTCACGGCCGCAGCCTCTTCGTAGTTGCCTCAGGCCATACCCCACATGCCTCCGGGAGGCTCCC